ACTGGTGTGTGTGTGTGCGTGAGAGAGAGAGATTGCAGTTGTACATTCATATGTTTATAATACTGTAAGCTGTCTTGTGAGGTTAGAGCACCCTGGAAGGCAGGTTAAACAAACCTCTTAACTAAATATAAATGACTAAACCCTAGTATCTCTTTCCCGATTAATCACAGCAACCTCAGACCCTGTATGTAAAATCTATGATAAGGTACCCCTCCAGCAGCAGATCTTACAGACATTTAGCTGAAATATCCAGGAAGACAAATTACATGCCACATCTGGAGGTGTGGCCTATACACCACCATGGTTACAGACTACCTCACTTAAGGCACAGGTGCAATGCTATGCCATGCCTCCCGTCACAGTGTGTGAGGAGAGACCCTTCTGAGGAGAGATGTATCTAGACTGAAAAATGCAAGTGCACTGTTAGCATGTTGAGTAAACAAGCAACCAATATGGGCTGAGATTGTCACAGGAGAGTTGGGCCAAATTTTTGTAAAGGAAATGTCCTCATCTCACTAGAATCCACTAGTAAAACTCCTGGACGTGTGTTTCTTATTTGGCAAACTAACAACACAGAGTAAGAAACTGTCTTTTGAAAGGGTATAAATTCACAAGACCAAAGAAATAATTAATTGATTTGTAGCACACTACTCATGCTTGGAATAATGAAGACAGGTTACTAGGAATTCTTTCATTTGAGAATTGCTTAACTATTATACTTGTCCAAAACACACTGATAAGCTCTCTGCTCTAACTTAAAAAGTAGCAACACCAGAAATTCTATTGTGTGTGTGCCCGTATGCATGGGGGAGATAATGCATTTCACAGGAGAGAACATTGTCTTATGTATAATTCGGAAAAAGCAATAATGGTATATTTCACTTTACCATGCTGCTCCTAAACACATTTTTTCCTATAACAAATCTTTTTAATTTTGATGGTGTTAATTTTCAAGTAACTTTCAATATGGTTTGAAGCCTTGTTTTAATTTCCAGTTTCTAATTTAATTCTAATTTGTATGTTTAAAAATGCAACATAAATACAGAAATCCAAGAATACAGTGGGAAGGGTGCAGCAAACTACTTTTGGGGAATGCTGAGCCCCTCATCCCTTGCACCACTTCTGAACCTTAGCATTTTCTGTGCATTGAGTATAACTTCCAAATACTAGGTTTCACCATGGTGAGATCTAATTTGCTCCAGGAGGCAGCAGATGTTTCACATTGTGTTGACATGTCCAAGTCTATCAGACAAACCAACTTTGGCCATCTTACTCTGGAGATAACTTTTGCAACCTTTGTCACATGACAAGAACATCAACTAGTGTATGTGGTAATTTGGTTTGATAAACATATATGAAGAGTTAAAGGAAAGTGGTGGGGTTATTTTCCCTGTTTCAAATACAGAGTGAGTGATTGACATGTTAGGCAAATACATGAGACACAACATTCTTCTTTGGTCTGCCAGAGCATTTCTGGCAGCATTTCATTTCTGACAGATGACAGATAATAGATGGTGCTGCCACTATTATCTGTAAGAAGCAGGTACATTCTGCCTAAAAATGGAAATAACTGTAGCAGCATCCCCCCCCCCCCCCAGACATATGTTGCTTTTAAAATGCCATGTAGAAATTCATAGTGCTAATTAATTAAATGGGACTTGATGATGAACTTGCCATATCATAACCACTGGCAAATCAAGGCCTGAGTAGGAGAGAGAGCCAAATAACATGTGATTTCTGCAGTTCTCATTACTGATATGGATTATGTTGGGTATCAGTTTTGGATAATTATTGTATTGGATAATTTGGATAATGTTGAATTTTTTTATATTGTTGAAGTGAACAGATGTGATAAATAACATAGAACCATAAAGAGTACAGAACCAAGAAAAAACACAAGAAACAATTAACATGATTAAAATATTGTTTTATTGACTTGATCCTAAAAAGGAAAGATGTCATGAAACATCTCTAATCCTGACGGCAGAATATATCACAGAATGAGATTAATTTTAAAGCCCATGTAGCCAATGTATTTGGCCGAACATAATGTGATCAGCAGGCAAAAGCTTCTCACCCACTAAAAGGTGACTGGCACTAAATATATTTACTCTGGAAGAAGTCCCACTGATTTTATTGGAATGTGGATCTGGACTTAATATAACTTAAGTCCTGTTCATTCCCATGGGTCTATTTTAATATGACTCAGTCTGGATCCAACCCAATAGGCTTTTTTTTCAGGCGCATAAGCTTACTAAAATCCTAGACACAGCCAGTTCAAAATTTACATATGCAAGTTCATCTCCTGATGGCTGCAACTTCAAGCAATAATTTGCAAGTGAGAATGGACTATTACAGTCTTAATCACTCTTAAATCATCAGATACAATCTCAGATCTCCATGCTTGTCAATTGATCCAGTTCCCATGCTCAGCTTCATGTGCAGAGTAGTTTAACTTTACAGAAATCAAGATGTATCAATACATGGAACATGCCTACATACTTCTAACAAAAGTCAGTTGGAAAAATTTTTCAGAACTCCTTCCCTCTTATTCCTTGTCCAACTTTTCTTCTACCACTTTTAACAATTCCATACAATAACAATGACAAAATCACACATGCTGGATAAGTATCTATAACTGCTGTTGCTCAGAAAAAATTATTTCATTTCCCATGGCATGTTCAAATGATGACAACCTGCTGCAGGAAGTATAGAACAGGAGGGCAGGGAGGGATCAAGAGAAGCCAGAATAAAATTCCTTTGACTTAAGTCAGCATTTGATTATATTACTCTATATTCCAAAGAAGTGGCTGTTGAAACCTGCCTCCACTCCAGGTAGTGTGGCACAGCCTGGACCAGGCTTGGTTTTTAAGGAAGCTGATCCCAGGGTCTCCACTGTGGAAAGGCATTGCAAACCCTGTCTTTGCAAAATTTGGAATTTCCACACACAAATGCATCATGTTGTTGCTGAGTCCAGTTCAGGGAAGATTCATTGTGAGGCTTCCTAGGAAAGGCTGGTGTGCCAAATATGGCATCCCAGGAACTGTTGCATGAGTTTGCTAAGCATTTTCCCAGCAGGGAGCAATTTCTACAGGGGACACATTTGGTTACACCCAGACTGTCTAGTCAGTTCCCTTTAAAATCTGTGTGAAAAGTAGGCCATTTATTTCCATGAGAACTAAGTACAAATGAGTTTGGATTCAACCTATTAGTTTCAACATTTCTTTTATCTATCATAGTGTTCATTAGTCTTAAATATTTTGTTGTTGCTTGCTTGTTCAAATGTGCATATGTTATGAGCACAAAATCTATTTCTATTGGCTAAAATGGCCATTTTACTTTAAAAAGTCTCCTTTCTGTGTTCTATACTGCATTTACAACATACACAACTGACAAATAGAAGGAAATGTTCAAATTGAAAGGAACTTTCCAGAGAGGTAGTATGCTAGTGTGTTGAAGTATTATTCTGTGGCATCCTCTCTGGATCCATTTATAAACTTGTCAACTAAAGATAACATGTCATACATCTGAGAAAGTGGACTCTAGTCAACAATTTGTATAATTTAATAACTGCACTCCTATACATAAGTTCAATGGGGCTTATAGGTGCAGGATTGTAGTCTTACAATGCATCTACACAGAAGTCTCATCGAGTTCAGTGGGACTTACTCCCAGGGTGTGCAGGATTGAAGTCTACATTTTTTAGCCTTAAAGGTGCCGCAAGGGTCTTTGTTGCTATCCCCACCCGACAAAGAGACAGCTAGGACACTTACGTCTCCATTCACAGCAGGGGTCCTCAAACGTTTCCACCAGGGAACCAGTTGAAAGGTGCTGGGCGTGGGCCGGAAGGGTGGTGCTGGAGGTGTGCGTGGGCTGGCGAGGGGGCCTGCTGAGGCGGGGGCCGGGCACGCAGCGAGGAGGAAAGGCGAGGCGGGTGCACAAGGCAGTGGCTTGCTCCCTTGGAGATCGCATGCGGGGCAAGGTGGGAGGCGGCAGGTGTGTGCGTGGGTGCGGGCACGCGTGCCGTGGGTCCAAATGGGCATGGCGGGCTAGATCCGGCCCCCAGGCTGTAGTTTGAGGACCCATGATTTACAGCTTAATTTCTCTTTTCAGATGAAGGATATTGGATCAAATATGTCCACCAACACGTCTTTTAGTGCTCTTCAGGCTCCTTGCCTCTATCATTTTAAAAAATTGTTTTAAATGTTTCTAAGTGAGAGGCTGACTGCTGCACAGCAAAGGCCTGTCACCTATGCCATCTTTTTTCTTTTCAAAACGCTGGTTTATTCTGCAGATTCCAAATCTGTTTTAGCTTCTTGTGTGGTTACTTTTCTGTTAATCACAGTCTAATTCCAGTTTACTGTCTGGAAAATGCCTATTTTGTGACCAATCATGCCCAAAGTAGTTATTTTACCAATGGGCAGGGTCCCCCTCCATAGCAGCCGTTTTTGTTTTTTTTGTTTTGTTTTTTGGATAGCGCTCAAAAATGTCAAAGGTGTCCACCGATGCAAAAAACGCCAGAGAACCCCGAGGGTGAAACAAAGAGAGACAGGTGCGGATCCTTGAGGATAAGTGAAACTCAGTGTAACACATGCTAAGTACGTGCCTGTCCCTTGTTGTCTCTACTGGGGCAGTTGTAACTTTGGGGCAGGCGTCCAGGTCCCTACTCTGCTGAATGAGCGCAAGGCAGTACCGGATCAGGGCTGGCTGAGCACCTCCTGAAGCAAGTAATACGCCTTAGCAACTACAGAGGGGGGCGCACAGCAAACTACGAAGTCCAGAGGCAAAAAATAGCTCACTACTCCACGGCACGGGGAAGGGAAACGGCGGCTGGCACCCAGTGCGCCGGATCTAGTTGAGGGGCGCGCATAAGAGCGGCGCCCGGCCGACGCCAAGCGCGTCCTCCTCGGGCCTGGGCGGAGCTGCAGCCGCCGGTGCCTCCCTCGCTCCTCCCTCCAGCCGGAGCCTGACGGAGGCGGCCCCGCCGGGGTGTTTCCCAGCTCCGCGCCCCGCTACTTGTTTGCAGGGCGCCAGCTGCAGCCTTCCGTTCCGCACGCTCGTTTGGCCGGAGCCCGGAGGCAGGATGGTGCTACCCGACGACGAGCGCGCTGCCGCCGGACTCTACCGAGCGCCCCCGGAGCTGGCGCGAGAGGCGCATGTGCCTTCCTTGGAAAAGTACCGGGAGCTTTACCGCCGTTCAGTGGAGGAGCCGCAGGGTGAGCGCCAGGCCACAGCGGTCGGCCGTGGCGGGCGGGCGTCGCGCGTTCCCCGAGCGGGTTCAAGCGAGCCCTCAGGCCGCTTCTGCGCGTGCAGCAGCCCGGGGCTCCTGCATGTGGCAAGGGCGGGAAACGGCCCTTCTTTGCAGAGCACAGTCTGGAGCGGGCAGGGCAGTGCAGCAGTGCTAAAGCATAAAGTCGCGGAGCATGGGGCATGTTATGTGGCTCAAGGGCGTGGGACCCGTCCGGTTCCATGTCTTTTCCTTTGCTCTGCCATGTGCCTGCATGGCTCACTCGTTTCCTTCCACCCTCCGCCCGGTGCAGGATCGTTGCCAATTTCTCGTCTACGCGCAACAGGGGCTCTAACGGCAACAGCTCAGATACTCTGAACCCTACAGGATTTGTTCCGGGTGGTGTTCATTATTGTGGGCAGCTTTTATCAGCTCCAAGCGCAAGCTTTTGCAGCTGTGTGCTTAACCATTGGATTCATGTTAGTATTAGGCTCTGTCAAATGACGGCTTAGGTTTCTCTTTAGTTATTGACTAGCAAATGGAGACCCTTAAGCAAGTGATGCGTCCTGGCTCCTGCCGGCAGTCCAGTAGCCCCGTATTGTAAAAGCTGCTGGGTAACTTGGCTATACCACAGTTGGAAGAGGTACTAGTAGCAGTTTGGGAGCTGCCAAGTTGTGTGTACGGCGTTTCCTTGTAAATTCCTACACTTTTGAATACTGTTTGTTTGGGGGTGGGGTTGGCGTTCCATACTAAGCAGAGTCGTTCCTAAATTTTCAGCAAAACATACTGTAGCAATATATAGTGTTAAGTATATATATTGTTATATAGTGTTTGCTTTTTGTCCAAGCATACACATAAGCTTAAATACACAGCACTTGTGCTAACAGCTCTCCTGTTGATGTGATCATTGGCTTAAATTTGCATGTGAAAGTAACAAGGTGGCAATGCTCTAGCAATTCTGCGTCATTTTGGAGGGGAGTCTGTGAGCTTTCTAGTATAGTTTGGGTCCATATTATGCTGATTCTTGAAGAGTGAAGCTCTTTGTAGCAAGGTTATCAGTGACATCCGTCATGAGGCAGTTTAACTTGCCCAGGTCTCTCTGTGTGTCAGCACTACCATTGTTAGTTTCCTAGTTTTAGTGCAAGTTTTTCTACCTTTCTAAAAGTTTGAAATGTGTTTTCTGAGGCTTAGGTATTGGCAGGAAGAGCTTTTACTTAAAATATGGTGGTATTTTCAGACCTGTTTACCACTGGAATGTAGCTCCCAACATCTCCGAAGTGGAACTAGGCCTTGCAATGAAGAAGGTTCAGCAGCCCTGTTGGGGGTGTTTGCACAGTCCCAAACATCCCCATAGAGCTGAGTAATTTCAGCAAGACTTTTGCGGGACCTTCTCAAGTTACTCACTGCAGTAATCTGTCAGTACAAAAAGGAAGTATTGCTGGAGTTGATCATTGGTGTTTGACAGCTCAATAGAAATGCATGCTTTAGGATAATTTCCACTCAATTTTGTGCTTCTGCCTTACCTACCAGCTTTTGAACCACTTCAAGAAAGGACATATTTATAAGAAAGTGTGGTTAGTCTTTATAAGCAATAAATACAGCTTGTTTAAAAATGATCCTATGCATTTAGTTGAGGATAGGGAACACTGATGGGATTGCATCTAAGGAAACCACATGGGTGGTGCTTTCTGACCTTTCCCTCTTCTCCTAGTCTTCTACTTGAATGCTTATTACAAGTCTTCTTACTTATATATATGTAATGGCTGCTTCTTTGATATCTGTGGTTACAAAGTTACCGGTATGCTTGAAAAGGAAGAAAGCATAGTTGTCCTTATCTTACTTTGGGAGAAACTGTGATAATTTGTCCTGCCCCGCAGAGACATGAAAGAGATCAAGCAGTGCAGTGCTAATTCTGTGAACAACAGATACATCAATGAAAGGAAGTTATTATACACAAGGGGGTGTGATGTATTTTTCTACAGTGTGAGAATTTCTGTACAAGGAAGTACCCTTAGTAAATAGCAGCTTTTCTTTCCTTGCTCTATGCAAATTAACCATTAACGCTTTCTTTGAGATAACAAAAATGAGGAAGTTACGTAACTGCACAGTTTTCTGCCTTGTCTTTTATAAAACATAAACAGGGACTGAAAGACTAGTTAGCTGGGGTAAGCACATTTAGATGCATTCCAACAGATCCAGAAATAACTGCATGGAAATGCTGTTTATGACTTAAGAATCCAGGTGTATTCAGGAGTGCAGTCTAGGGGTCCCTCCTTAAATAAGACCAACTCAAGTTTTGTCTTGTGTCATTTTGTGTGGTCTTAAAATTAATATTTTCTTTCTTTTTTTTTTTTGCAGAATTTTGGGGTGATATTGCCAAAGAACTTTACTGGAAGAACCAGCACACTGGACCATTTTTGCAATATAACTTTGATGTCACAAAAGGAAAAATTTATATAGAATGGATGAAAGGGGCTACAACCAACATTTGCTACAATCTATTGGACAGAAATGTCTATGAGAATAAACTTGGGGACAAAATAGCTTTTTACTGGTAATGTTCTGCCTTTTATTACAATTCAGAAACTTCTGGTATGAACTTAGAATTAAGACCATTGCTATAGCATTAGATTATTCTGCTCTGGTAAAAAAAATAAGGAGACCTGAAAGAATGAGAAAAGTTGAGTATCATGTTATTAGAGCTGGCATTCATTTGAATTTCTGAGAAATCCTCTGTAAGGCATTTTGTGTGAAAAGGGAAATTGCCTTCAAATGCCCCCATGCTAAGATAAAAGCCAGAAATTCTCTCTAATTTAATCTGTGTGATGCTGCTCATACTTTTCCATTATCAGAGGTTTGTGTGTACTTAAAAAGTCTTGTGGGTAGGTGCAGCAAGCAGTGACCAGTTTCCTAAACAGAAGCCTCCAAAGAAGAAGCCAGTCTTTGGAGACAACAACTGGGGTCCTGACTGGGGTATGAATGACATTTTTCACCACTTGAAATGCCAACTCTTTCTCACCCATACACTGACCTTTCGGATGGTTACTGTGTAAGGGTTAGATATCTGATCACAGTAAACAATTCTTTAAAGTAAAGTTCTATAGTTTGTGGTAGTTCAGGGTAGGGAACAAGGTTCCTTCCAGATATGTGGATTGTGGATTACATCTTCCATAATATCTGACTATTAGCCATATTAGCTGTATGGGAGCTATAGTCCAAAACATTTGTAAGGCATCATGTTTTCTGCAGTAATCTATATAGGAAGCATCAGTTATAAAATAGTGTTTGCTAAAGGAAAGAGTGTTCTTCCTTTTGTCAACTTCATTAGCATTCATTCAACCTCTTATTTTGACTGCTTCTCAAGGAGACACATAAATATGATATCATTGTTCTTTGCATATTATTGCTTACTCCTTTCTTGTGCTCAGGGACACTCTTATAATTTATTTCCTTTTCCTGACAGGTCTAGTTCCTTTTTCATTAATTAGTACATACACATTTTACAGAGCAATAGATGAGTCAGGAAACGTTGCCTGAATCCTATCTATGTTTATGAGGAAGCATTCCCCACTGGTTTTACTGGGATTGTATTTTAAGTGAATGTGCCTGGCTTTGCAGCTTTAGTAATATTTTGTGTTCCAGATACAAGCCTTTACCTCCAAATGTACTTCAGGGTTTAAATAGTCGGTTGCTGTTAACTCTCGGCCTAACTGAAGTTGCTTTCTGACTGTCCACCAAATCAGTATAAGAAATATAAATGGGCTGTGACAAATCTTTTGTCTAAAGAAGCAGATTGCATTTCAGAAACTGTATTTCATAGGTGTTCTTTTGCTGTGGAAGTGTGCCCTTATTTTCAGGCGTCTTTTTAGGACTGTATGGCCTTTCTGATGCAGAATGTGGTGGTAGGCTGGAAAAAGTGCTCTGTTGAACACAGTTGAGGTATTCTAGAATTTTCTTTGGGTTTTCATGTATTTTTTTAAAAAATATTTTATATTGTTCCATATCCAAATAGATTCTGGAACAGTGAACAGTATGAGGTTAAAGCAAATTAGAAATACAATAAAACACTTTTAAAAAGATTGAGGTCATGGTCCACAAGAAAAAGCTTCCCAGGATAAGTTTGCCTTTAGCAGGCTCTGAAAACAGCACAGTGGTAGTGCCTGCTTGATTTCTTGCAAGGAATTCCACAGAAATGGGGCTGCCACACTGAAGGCTTGTGGAATGCAGCAGGGCCATGGATCCATGTGGAACCACCAAAAGGATGGCCTCCTCTGACCTCTGTGACCTGATAGGTTTGTAAGGAAGAAGACAGTCAAATATCCTGGTTTTTACTCAGGACTTTGTACAGTATTCCCAAAACCTTGAACTTGGCCTGGTAGCAAATTGGTAGCCAGTACAGTTCGTTCAGCAAAGGATCTGCATGCTGAAAAGTGGCAGCTCTCAGCCACAATCAAGCTGCTGCATTTTGCACTAACTCCAGTTTCCAGAGCAGCCTTAAGGGCAAGCCCACATAAAGCAATTGCAGTAATACAGTCCTGAGGTATCACTGTGGCCAAGCTGTCCTTGTTCAGGAGAGGCTATAGCTGACAAAACAGAGATGGGAAAAAGCAGTCTGATCCGCTGTCATTACTTGGCACTTCAGTGATAGCGATGCATCTAGGAGTTCCCTATGAGCCTGATCTTTCATAGGGGATGCAACCCGACCCAGATCTATCTCCTGAACTCTGGAATCACCACAGGACTTGCATCTTTCTAGGATTCAGTTACAGTGTATCGGTCTCATCCAGCCTGACTCCATCTAGGACTTGAATAGCAGGGAGATGGAGCTGTGTGTCATCATATACTGATGATACTTGGGTCGAAATCCTCCAGTGAATGCTTCCAGTGGTTTTAGATAAGTGTTAAATAACTTTGGGAACAGAATAGTACCCCGTGGAACCTCAAAGCTGAATTTCCAGGGTTTTGAGGAATGTTCTCTGGAACCAACCCTGCAGGTCAGATTGGAAGCATTGTGACATAGTGTCTCCAATACTTAGCTCATGAAGTTGATCCAGGAGAATAGCATGGCCAATAGGCTCAAAGGCCAGTGAGAGATCCAGTAGAATTGGCAGCATCACATTCTCTCGTCTTCCTTGTGATAAAGGGTCAGGACATCCAAGGCTGATTCAGTTGTGTAAACCTGTAGAAACCCAGAATGAAATGGGTCTAGATAATCAGTACCTTCCAAAAGTGCCTGCAGTTGCTCTGCCAGCACTCTTGTCATGTGCCTTTCGTAAAACGGGTTATTTGCTAAAGGACTGTAGTTACCAAATACTCTTGGGACCAGAGTGGGCTGTTTCTGAAATGGTTGCACTACTAGCTCCTCGAGGATAGTAGGAACCATCTCTTTATGCAAAGATGCGTTGACCACACCTTGGACCCACCCAGTTCACCCACTCAGACCTCCTTAGCTGGTTTTTATCAAACAGAAGGGTGAGGATTGAGAGAGCACATGGTTGTTTGCACTACTGCAAGCCCTTTGTTCCCATCAGGCCATAATATCTGAAATTGAGCCCCCAAAACTAAGCAGATACCAGTGTTAGACACCTTGACTGCAACTGCACACTAACAATAGCATTTCATTTGCTGCAGAGACCAGCAACTTTGTCCTCAAAAGTGCTACAAGGTACAAGGTACAGCAGACTTTTGTGTGTGCCAGGGCCCCTTTTGCTGAGGATAATGTTAACATTCCCCAGACTACCCATAACTACTGCACAGGACTTGAGTATGCAATGGGGCAGCAAAGTGGCATTTCTAGCTGCCTGCATTGCCATGCAGTAGGCACTACTGTGTGCTCTCGAGTATGTTCAGTTGGCTTTGCTTTGAGCCTTATTCCTGTTCATTCTAGCTGATGTCCATCGTATTTTACTGACTGCAGCTTTTCAGTATATCAAGCAACAGTGAGGCCCCTAGTGTACTGGAGAGGGCACAACTCTCCACAGACCTCCATAGTAAGACTGGGGCCTTGACTGGATCACCAGCTCTGCATACTGCAAAATCCTCCAGAGCATTCAGAAATCCATTGGATTCTTTCACTTTTCTAGGATGGGCTATCCAAGTGCCTGCTAACCCACTAGCCACCTTGAAAGACCACTTCCATTACATTCATGCCCGCATTCTAAGTGTTCCGAATGCTTTCTAAACAAAGAAATAGGGGAAGGCGGACTGTAGTCTGCCCCAATTGCTTCTCCATGGCAAACAATTGCCAACTTTAATGTTCATAGCAATCCTGTGAAGCAAGACACTATAGGACATTAGTGGAAGGATCTGGAGTTCATTGCTAGCAATTGTTTAAAAACCCACTTGGTCTGGTTAGAGATCAAGCATTTTTTCTTCAGTGCCTTCCACTGGACACGAATGGAGTAGTAAAGTTAACTAAACTGCATGTGAAACTAGTTGCATATGGAATTAGCAGTTTGTGTGACAACTAAAATATTTTTCAAATACTGGGATGTTTACATTATTGTGTATAAAATACAGCCAGACTAAGACTTTTTAATTTCTTTTTCTTTCTATAACAAAAATCATCTTAATTTCTAAAGGTAATTTTTCTTAGTGGTTATTATTTTTCTTTGCTTCCTACAGGTGTGGAAAACTCAAAAGCCAGCCTTCCCCAACCTGGTGCCTTCCAGTTGTTTTAGATTGTAATGTCCTGTCTACTTGACATTGAATATGTTGCTTAGGACTGATGGAAGCTCTAATCCAAAATATCTGATGGGCACAGGTTTGTGAAGGCTATTCTAGTCAATGATCTCAGCTATATCCAGATCCCAGTTTTAGGGATGCTGAAATCTATGTTTACCTTTATTGCAGAAACTACTATGTGTTTGTTAAGTAAACAGAGGAGGAAAATTCTCTGAACTGGAATAAAGGGGTGGGGAAGGGAAGCATACTTAATTAATGAAGCTAGTGAGATGTATAGGAATTTAGCTTTATGGTGCCTGGAGAGTACAGATAAAATTGGAGAAAGCAAACATTTGTTCTTGACAGCTGGAAGATGTGTGTATGTGTGTTTCAAATTTTGTATGTTCCTATCTTGACCAAGAAGAAAGGCACTTGTCTTTGAAAATGCACAATTCCTTGCTTTTGAAATGTTTTCTTCTATTGCCAGTTAATGCTTTTCTTGCCATAAAAAATGAACAAAAAAATAAAGCCATTCTGGATCAGGGCAGGGGTCAGATAATCTCTGAATTTTGTTTTCAGCCATGGCCAGCTGGATGCCCTCTGAAGGCCCACAAGTCTTGCACCGAAGTGACAGATTTGTCCAGTTGCTTGCTCACAGAAACTGGTGTTCAGCTGTACGTTGTCTTCTGAACTCAGAAGCTCCATTTAGCTGTCATGCTAACAGTCGTTGGCAGGTCATTAATTTGTCTAAGCTAGTATCAATCACTATAGCTTCTGGCAATACATTTCACAAGTTTAATTACTATTGGTGTGAAGAAGTGTGTTCTTTTGTTTGTCACAAATATCCTCCCAATCAGTTTGACTAGTGTTGTAGGATTTGTCCTTCTTCCA